CTGTGTGTGAGAAACGCTGGGATAATCTTTTTCGAAAAGTGTTTATTACGGAGATTTCTCATATAAACAAAAGTATAGAGAATATAGAATAATGGAGTCCCATATACCACCACCCAGCTTCAGTGATTAGCAGTTATGGCAAATCTTGTCTTATTTATATCCCATCTACTCCCACCCCCAAGACTAGGTTGTTTTAAAGCAAATTTCTAATATCATATCATAAATATCTACTCAATGGTATTGTATACTTTGCTAAGAAAGTAGATCTGATGTTAAGGGTTACTGCCATACACACAAAGAAAATAAAATAAAGAGTGGAAGGAAACTTTGGGAGGTGATGGATATGACTGTGGCCTAATGGTGGTGAGGGTTTCAAGGGTGAGTTCTTAACCCCAAACTCACTGAGTTGTATATATCAAGCATGTACAACTTTTCACATGCCAATCATATCTCAGTAAAGTGGTATGTATGAATGAATAAATAAGGCCATAAAAGCACTACAAGAAAACACAAAAATATTTTCTTTTTAAACGTCAGAGTGGCCATAAACAAATTGATGATTTGATCATTTTGACCACATAAACATTATTAATTTTGTATGACCCGAACCACGATAAAGAAAATTGAAAGACCAGTGTTATGGGAAAAATAAGTATAAGAATAACAGAGGGCTGGGTTCACTTCCATATGTTATACAAACTCGCAAACCGGGAAGGAAAATTAGGCAAAAGGATGTGAACAGAGGTCATAGAAAAAAATTAGCTTCCCTTACCGGGAAACTTGTGAAAGGAAACATCAAGCAGTAGAAATATTTTACTGCTGTTAGTTAGACTTTAAGCTCTTTCTTCACAATCTTAGAGAAGCAGAAACAGAAGCACAACCTGATTTAGTAACGATCCCCATTGCCCTTCCTTGCCGTGGGATTATCAGTGATTTAGACCCTATCTCGCTGCATCATTGCACGATTCATCCAGGGGTGGCCAGAGCCGCCTCCTGCCGGCTCATGAGAGCAGACTGTGCACCAGCCTGTCCAATGCCACACCCAGGGACCTCACGGTGGTAGCACGAAATCAGAGATGGCGGGAAATTCTACACCAAGGAAAATGTCAACTGCTACCTATCAAAGCAGAGAGCCGTTGTTAAATATTTACCATCACATCATAGATCCATCCCAAATACCTTCAAATCCAGAAGATTTGTTTCCAACTGGGTTGGAATCAAAATGAGAGTAAAGGCACCCAATAAGAGACATAACTGTATGTGTTCTGGAAAGATCCCAAGCAAACCTGATACTGTACCATATGTATCACCAGCCCCACCTCAAGCCCCAGCCCCAAGCCTAAGAATCCTATTCCATGATTCCATGTATTGGTAGAAGGTCTGAAAATGTAGAATTTGATGTCTTTCAGCTTCCGTAACACCATAGGGCGAAACTAAGAAACTTTGTTGGAAGACAACCTGGCTGGCGGCGGAGGAAAAGCATGAGACGTTAGCTCACCTGCATTTCCATCATCTCCTTCAGGGCCCGGAGTTCCTGAGTCTGCCTGAGTCGCTCCTCAGACTCCTCGTCCCGTAGTGACCCGAGGTTAGACTCCATCATACTGTAGGACTGCAATGCCTGCAGTTTCTGAAAAGGCCGGGACACAGTTTTATTTAGATGAAGATCTAGTCTTGATGTTGTCTTTTACACCTTGAGCAATGTCAAAAAGGCACACCTTACCCAACCACAAAGTCCAAGCTGTCCTCACCAGATATCTACATGCCTGCAAACACACCCACAAGTGTGTTTGCCCACCCCTTCCCCAGGGTTGAGAGCTCAGTGCTTACACAGGAGAAGCAAGTTCCCGTGGAAGAACAGAATTTGAGAACATAATTTCAATAGCACTAACATTCTGCTGCATTCAAAATCCGGAGCTCACTAGACAGCTTCCCCTTTCCTCTTCAGTCTCAAATAGGCTGAAGAGAATCAGACTCCTATGGCCTTTGGGAGGGTCTCAGGTACTCTGGACCATTCCCTGAGGACTCCTGTCCCTCCTCCCACAAAAAAATTCTGGTTGTCACCAACCAGACCTGGCTTTGTGTGGCTTGGAGTGGTATCACCCATACCTAATGATTCCTCAGCTAGCTGCGTGTAATCTGAAGGAAAAGACACAGGAAAGTGGATCCGAGAGAAGAGGCCTTTCCACCTATGATAGGCTATATTTTTAAATATATCACTGCTGTATTCACAAAATTAAATTATCTCCATCTCTATTATTATATACAAAACTCATAAGACCCATTAAAGCTTTCAAGAACTGCAAGTCCCTGAGTTTAACCTGATACCATTCTTGCTAATCTTTAACTCTTCTCTATTGCTAAAGCAATATCCGGTCCAAATGTTAACCATTTCTAAACCCCTTGAGTATTTTCATAGAGTCAAATGCTTTATCAAGTGTATGCACAACCCTCGGCTTCTCATGTGTCATTTCTGCCTTCACCCCAATATTTATGATGCCCAGAGAGCTGGCTCTCTCGGCATATGACAAACCGGCATGGTGATTTCCATTCAAATGGGTACTCCTTTGGCCACTGGATTTACCCTACATCTTATCTCTCTTCAGTCAGGTAACTCAGCCAAAGTAAGCTCATAGACTTCTGTACCAGGGGGTAAATTTTGAGGAGAAACATCTTCAAAAAGTATTTCCCTCTACCCAATGGGGCTCCTGGGTGGCTCAGTCAGCTGAGCGTCCGACTTCAGCTCAGGTCATTATCTCACGGTTCGTGGGTTCGAGCCCCACATCAGGCTCTGTGCTGACAGCTCAGGGCCTGGAGCCTGCTTCGGATTCTGTGTCTCCCTCTCTCTCTGCTCCTCCCCTGCTCACACTCTGTCTCACTCTCAAAAATAAATAAAGATTAAAAAAAAAATTTTTTTTTAAGTATTTCCCTCTCATTGGCCCTCCTGACAGCAAGGGAAATCTTTTGTTGTTTTATGAGGTAGACTGTCTTACAGTGTTATTCACACTCACTCTAACCGAAATCTTCTCTTTTTCTCCCCAGAATTAGAAAAAAAAAATAACAAAGTAATTATCCAAATACACTGAGAATTTGGGTCTCCAGTTTGGTTCCCATAATAAAAGTAAAATAATGAAATGTCACATGAGAGGGGACAGGGAGAGACACACAAACACAAAAACACAGCATATGCAATCCTACAGAGAAAAGACAAATCAAAAATAAAAAACAGAAAAATGATGTTCCAGTTTAGGGAAAGGTGATCCAAGTTAAAAAGAAACCATGGATGGTAATTATGTTCTCACTCACCAAAACTTAGAATTTCCTAGCCAAAAGTAACCCTCTGACCTTTGATGGGGTGGTTTCTGAACAGTAACTCCAAATTCAAATCAATACCTATCTATCAAACATCCAGTCAGCTAGTGCCGTGTCAGGGGATGAGAGTCAGCAGGGCGCACGCCAGCTCAGGGAAGATGGGTGTGGAGCTGGGGGGGTAGGACCGTGAGGTCCATATGGTGGGGGAGCATCTTATCTCCCACAAATCTTTCCTGACCACACTGCAGGGAGGGCTTAAGTCACTACAGACACACACACACACAGCTCTCATCTCAACCCCACAGCCATCCCTATCCTTGGCTTCCCATCTCAGATTGAGATGATGGACCACCCAAGACTCCAAGCATATCCTATGACAAGCCCATTCTGGAAAAGTTGTCAAGGTATTCCTTTAGCAAAACGTGGAATGACTGTGAGAAATGCAGACAGTTAATTTTCAAAAACAAGAAATGATTCTCCTTGATGTTAGAAGGACCAATAAGAGCTCGATACGTTCTGAAAATATTTCTCCTCAAAATTTTTTCCCTGATATGGTTTTAGTCATACGGGTTTATATAGGAAGATACAGTCTAGGGATAATCTTTAATAATGTTTTCCTGAATGAACTTAACAGTATATCCATTAGAAGAGCAGAGGCTTACAAGTTTAAAAAGTTAAGTTCAAATCCCAGGTCTACCTCTTAGTAGCTGTGTGACCTTGAGCACGTTATGTGAACCCCAGTGTCTTCACCTGTAAAGGAGGAATGATAATAGTGTTGTTTTAAAAAAAAAAAAAACTTTTAAAAATAAATTATAAACCAGGGGCACCCGGGTGGCTCAGTCGGTTGATCATCCAACTTTGGCTCAGATCATGATCTCACGCTTCGTGGGTTCGAGCCCCACGTCGGGCTCTGTGCGGACAGCTCAGAGCCTGGAGCCTGCTTCGGATTCTGCGTCTCCCTCTCTCCCTGCCCCTCCACCACTCGCACTCTGTCTCTGTCTCTCAAAAAGAAATAAACATTAAAAGAAAATAGAAAAGAAATTATAAACTAATCATGTGCCTATTTTGAGAATGTTATGGTTGTTTTGTTGTTGTGAGAATTAAAAGTTAATATATATAAAGTGTTCTGCACAGGGGCTAGAAACCAGTTAATACACTCAGTAAATCTTACTATTATGCATGATCTCCACAGACCCCAACAGGGTGCCTAGCACATAGCCAGTGCTCAGCAAATACCCGTTAAGAGAAAAATGCATTCATTCAAACTTTGCCTCATAGCTCATCCAGTGACAAAAGAAAGCCCTTTGCAAAAATAAAGATAATGTCTAGGGAGTTTCTACTATATACCAGACAATGTTAAGTGCTGTCTACGTGTTAATTTAACCATCTCAGCAACCTGTCGTACAGAAGAGAAACTGAGGCACAGGAAAGTTAAGTAACTCGCCTAAGGTCACACAGCCAATATGTGATAGAGCAGGGATTCAATCCCTGGCACTGGCCTCTGATATCCAGCCTCACAGTATATTAGCTCCCAATGGCAGATGAAATAAAACGAGTAAAAACGAAGAAATGAATTTTGAGAACAAATTAACATATTTTCGGCAAAAGAACACTGAAAGACTTTGTGTTGGGTACCTCTTCTAGAGTTGAGTTATGGTTGGCAACACTTTTAAATTCATCCCAAAATAGTTTTTTTAGCTTGTCTATTTCCTCATATAGCGTGGCCCGCTCTTTTTCTTTCCATTCATCAAATTCTTTCTTAGCTTCTATCTCCTTCTGACGAGCAATCTCTGCTTCCTGGAAAGAAAAACAGGAACAATAGAATCACTAATTCTACATCATGGCAAATATTTACTGAGAAACTGCTAGGGCCCCTTGTCTGTGCAAGTCACTCTAGAGACCAAAGAAGATTCGTCCTACTGTTCCTATTGTTTGGACATGGAGTGAGACAAGTCTTCTCTGAACTGTAAAGTCCCTTGACAATAGAGATCTTTTTCTCTCTCTTTATGTTCCTGGCATAGTTGGTGCTCAATAAATGGATGCTGAAGAAATGAATGAAGAATAAAGAAATGAAGGAATGAGTAAGACAAGAATACATATTTTCATTCTACAATTATCTACTAAGTAAGTCCTCGAGACTGGACTTTGGAGTTTATCCAGTCTTGGCTTTCAAAAAGCCAAGTAGCATTGTAGTGTAAGAAGTTAACATTCAGGTTCAAATGCCTTCAGAGGATGCTGAATAGGGCAGAAAACAGCAATTCTCTCTCCTACTTTTGGCCATACAGATCTGGGAAAACAACTGGATTTTCCTTTGCAGATAACCTAAGATCATTTGCCACAACCAAGAAGATGCCATCCTAGCTCTGACTCCCAGCTCCAGGAAATCAGCGAGACTTCTGGTCCTGTGAGACACCCGTGCATCATGGGTCTCCTGCATGAGACTCGAGCAAGTCTCCCTGGTGTTTCCACTCCGTGCCCACCTGGAGCTGCCGGTGCCTCTCGGCCTCCCTCTGGGCTTCCAGCTCCCCTTGGGTCCATTTTAGTTTGGCCCGAAGCTCCTCCAGTATCTCCTCCACTGGCTGTTCCTGCTGCTTCTGCTTCCCTGTGGGCTCCATGCAAAGACAGGGTGACCGGGTTAAGTCAAAAAGTTAGTGGAGTGCAGTTCGTCGCCTATGCAATCAGTCACACCTCAGTCTGAGACCAGTTTGCCACTCCCATTGGATACTGACCACAGGCAAATGACATAACCTCCCTGACCCTCAGTTTCCCCAAATTGGAAAGAGGAGATAGTAACAGCACCTAACTCAGAGGGTTGTCATGAGGATGAAATGTGACGGTGCAAAGTGCTTAGCATAGTGCTTGGCATGACCGCTCAATAAATGTGAACTATTACTGTCATTTAAAATAACTATTTTGACAGTACTAACACATGCAAATGTAAAAGCAAAATTGAGAGAGTAACAGAAGCAGAATACCAAATAGCATGTACACGGTGATTATCAATACAAAGAACATATCTATGCATCCTCACAGCCATCAGAGAGGAGTTTAAAGTAGTGAAAATAATTGTAGTTTTAAGTTCCCTTTTTTTCAGAAATACGTATAGTAGTAAGTTTCAAGTGAAAAAAAAAAAAGCATGCATTATGAAGGAAACTTTCAGCGAAAGTTTTTTAAGTATATACTTCAAACTTTCTAAGATTAAACAATAAAAGAATGAATTATTGGGGCACCTGGGTGGCTCAGTCGGTTGAGCGTCCGGCTTTGGCTCAAGTCATGATCTTGCGGTCTGTGAGTTCAAGCCCCATGTCGGGGCCTGGAGCCTGCTTCGGATTCTGTGTCCCCCTCTCTCTTTGCCCCTCCCCCACTCATGCTCTGTCTCTCTCTGTCTCAGAAATAAACATTAAAAAAAAATTTTTTAAAAAGAATGAATTATAAAAGAACATTCTAACTAAACCACATACAGATAAACCAATGAAAAAGACAATTGTACTTGCACAATTGTTATAATTTATTTATTTTTTTTTTGACAGAGAGAGGGCACAAGTGAGCAAGGATGGGGAAAAAGAGAGAGAGAGAGAGAGAGAGAGAGAGGGAGACAGAGAAGCAGGGCTCGTGTTCACAGGATGTGGGCTTGAGCTCACCAACCATGAGATCATGACCTGAGCTGAAGTCAGATGCCTAAGGGACTGAGGCACCCAGGCACCCACATTTGTTACTTTTCAAAGTACCTTTAGTGACTATTAGATAGATGGTACTGTTACTAAAACTCTAAGTCTTTCTTTGAAAAGAGAGATGGTCTTTCTCAGACTGTACTTTTTGGAAAGAAGCAATTTTAGACACAGTAGAAATTAATTTCGGTTAACAAAATGATTTAGGATGATATGAAATAGGAGAGTGGAGATATCTGAAGAGCCATATCTGCCTGAGAATAAAAAGGTCATGAGTATTAATTTAGCAAAAGTTGCCTTAAGAACATATTTTCCCTCTCCTTCAGCGCTTAACCTTAAGAAAATAATAAGGAATATGCCCAAAGACTTGCATATAAGAATGTTGATCAAGTGATTTATAACAAAGAAATTTATGAGTAACCCCTATAAAGTATGTAATAATTTAATCGTGAAATAAATTATGATAGCTGCATGATGGGATATTATTCAGCCATTAAAAATCATGTTTTCCAAGATGCCTGAATGACACTGCAAAATGTGATATATTTTTAATTAAAAATAAGCAATAGGGGAGCCGGGGTGGCTCAGTCGGTTAAGCATCTGACTTCATCTCAGGTCATGATCTTGTGGTCTGTGAGTTCGAGCCCCGAGTCAGGCTCTGTGCTGACAGCTCAGAGCCTGGAGCCTGTTTCAGATTCTGTGTCTCTCTCTTTCTCTCTCCTCCCCCGCTCATGCTCTCTCTCTTCTCAAAAATAAATAAACGTTAAAAAAAAATTTTTTTTTAAAGCAATAGTCACAACCACATACTGTATGATTACATATGTACACAGGAAAATAATAACAGAAAACACACCAAAATATTAAGTAGGTGATATTGTCGATGGTTTTTATTTTTTCTACTTTTCTGTATTTAAATTTTCCAGGTCAAAGGCATTTTTTCCAATTTTTTTATTGTGGTAAAATACACATAACATAAAATGTAGCATCTTAGCCATTTTTTAAAATTTATTTAGAGAGAGAGAGAGAGAGAGAGAACGTGCATGAGCAGGGGAGAGAGGCAGAAGGACAGAGAGACAGAATCTCAAGCAGGCTCCATGCTCAGCACATGGCCCTGGGATCACGACCTGAGCTGAAATCAAGAGTTGGAAACTCAACAGCTGAGCCACCCAGGAGCCCCACATCTTAACCCTTTTTAAAGGTACAGCTCAGAGGTATTAGTACATTCATAATGTTGTGTAACCATCACGACCATCCACTTCCATAACTCTTTTCTTCTTGTAAAACAAAAACTCTGTATGCTTTAAATAACTTGCCATGGTCCCCCTCCCCCCAGCCCCTGGCAACCACAATTCTACTGTCTGTTTGTACAAATTTGACTACTCTAGATATCACATAAGTAGAATCATACAGTATTTGTCCTTTTGTGGCTGACTTACTTCACTTAGCATAATATCCTCAAGGTTCATTCCTGTTGTAACATGTTACAGAATTTCCTTTCCTCTCAAGGCTGAATAATATTCCCTTGCTTGCATAGACCACACTTTCCTTCTCTATTCATCTGTCTGTGGACAGTTAGGTGCTTCCACATCTTAGCTACTGTGAATAATGCTGCCATGTACCTCAGTATACAGATATCTCTTCAAAGACCTATCTTTTCATCAGAAAAATTCATTTAAGAAGTAGAAAATCTGTTTTCCTTTAGCAGCCTCCAAAGTAGAATCAAAAATAATTAGATATCTAATAAATGCATCACAACTAGATAAATGGTACTGTTTTAAAACTCTATGGGGCGCCTGGGCGGCTCAGTTGGTTAAGCGTCCGACTTCGGCACAGGTCATGATCTCATGGTTTGTGAGTTCAAGCCCCGTGTCGGGCTCTGTGCTGACAGCTCAGAGGCTGGAGCCTGCTCGGATTCTGTGTCTCCCTCTCTTTCTGCCCCTCCCCCACTCACTCTCTGTCTCTCAAAAAATAAATAAATGTTAAAAAAATAAAATAAAAACTCTAAGTCTGCTTTTTGGAGAGGAAATTAAAATGAAGAAAAATAAGAAAAAGGTTTTACTTAATGGAATTTTTAGATTTATATTGTATGATTTATATTTTCATATCTGTATTTATTTTATTTGTTAGCAGCTATTTGTTATGTCACATATTAACATATTAACATCCATTAAAAATGGATATAAAGTATGCAAATCTCTCTATGGAGAAACATACAGCCTTGCTACTCCTTTTGGAATTTGAAATGATAAAATTAAAGTGATTAAGTCATAATAAGCTCATGTACATACAGAGTTAAAGAACCAGTCTAACTGCTTATTAACCCCTTTTAAGCTCATTCACAGTTAGCATCAGAGAAGAGCAGATTCACAGAAGGTTGGGAGGTAAGGACCCTTCCAAGTCACCCCATTTGACTGCCCAATTCACAGCAAAGGCCACTGAGACTCAGAGGGAGGGGCAATGACCGTGGTCACATGGTAGAAAGGGATAAAGCTAACACTGGAACCCACCGTCTGACTCCCTTTTTCTCTACACACATTGTCAGAAACCCTCCCAGGCCCATGTGGGATGGATCTCCCCAGTGTGGACGATGGGATCACCTCCTCCTCTACTGGATGATGAGGCCTGAGGGCAGCTGTGGTGGTGTATGTGCCCCACACCCACTGAAGACCAGCCCAGGCCCTTCCATGGTCCCAGGAGGGCCACCTGGACTCACCACCTTCTGCCACGCCCGCATGCCTGCGCTGGATATGGCCCCGGAGAAAGGTGGCGTTCATGAACGTCTTGTCACACAGGTGGCACTGCACGGAAGGCAAAGAGTGGGAAGTGTGGTATCAGATCACCTAGCTCAGCCTGGGGCTCTCCCGAGATCAAAATTCCCATCTCTTTGGGACCCGTGGGCTGCTTCAGAAATGAAGGATTCGATTTGAACATGACCAGTACCCTGGGGAGCTGTGAGTGCTGACTAGGTATTTGATGATACTGAGGAGTTTTTGTTGGTTTTTCAAAGGCGTGATGACGGTCTTATGTCTATGTTTAAAAGGGGGAGCCATCACCTTTTAGAGATCCATACTGAAATGGTTAGAGATAACACCATATGCCCTAATACAGCCGAATGTAATGCAGGACTGGGGGAAGTGGGTAGGGGAACATACGAAAAAGCATTGGCCAGGGTTGATAATGAGTGGGCTGGGTAGTGCACAAATAAAGGCTCATTACCATACTCCCTCTTTTGTATATGTTTACATTTTTTCACAGTAAAAAGTTAAGAAAAAACAAAAACAATATCCAGGTCCCACCCCAGGGCTGAGAACCACCAGAGCAAAGGACAGCAAATAATAGTATCTCTAATTCTGCTTCACTCTCCTCAAGCATTTCAGACCCTGCCAATCTTTCACATCATCTTTTCACTGTAAAACTTCAAAATTTTTCCAACACAACTTTGCAGGCGGCCAATCCTACTCAATCAGACTAAGAGGGTCTATCTTTACACAAATGTGACGGAAACTGTTAGCTGTCCCCTGATACCTATTGCCCCTTTTTTCTTAGTTTTAGAAACCCTGATTTTTAGCTGGTCATGAGGTTAATGAGAATAAACACTATAAGTTCCAGCCTCCCTTGCAACCAGGTATGGCCATGTGACTACATTCTGGCCAATGACATGTAAGCAGAAGTGACAGATGCAACTTCTAGAAGGTGTCGTCAAAGAGTCATGATAGGACAGTAGCCACTCCTTCTTCCTCTGACAACAGAACCCCCGTTTTCTTCTGGGAAATTACCCTGTCCTTCACTCTCCAGCCATGGACTTTGGTCAATCCCCAGCTCCATGGTGGGACATGTGACTTAGACCAAAGCCAGTTACAGCCCTGAATTCCCAACCCTGAGCTCACCAACCGAGATGGGTAGGAGACCCAAACACAGCCAAATACAGGAGACAGTGAAATACTAGCCAGGTTTCTGGGCCCAAAGTAGGCCCTCTATCATGCCAGCCTTGAATCTGGGAAAATCAGATGCTAGCATTGCAGTGGCCCAACTTGCTACCACACAGACAGCAGCTTTCTAAGAACGGAACCCACACTGAGGAAGAGTCGCCAAGAGCCGCAGACAAACTAAATTCTAGTGCCACTGTCTGATTCCAAGGACAAGCCATCCCACTATGGCTCTGGATTTTTCAGTTAAATTAAGCAATAAATTCCTTATTGGCCTAAGCCAAGTTAGACTGCTGTTTTGTCACTTACTACTAAAAGATTCTGACCCTCTTTATCAAAATTGACATTATATCAGTTATATCAATTACTATTCAATCAATTAATATTGTACCATATATTCCTTCCGTCCCACCACCCACCCCTAAACTATGAGTTTCTTGAAAACCTGAATGAACATGACTTGTGCCTGCACCCTCAGAACTCGGCACAGGGCCTGGCCACCATGACAATTCACCAAACTGCAACTGTCCCCAGTCCACACTTTCCATTCAGCTGCAAATGTTCAAATGCCACTCTGGATAATGAACTGTCACTTGGCTGAACATGTCGGAATGGGCCTGGCAATACCAGTCCCTTGCTACACACCAATTCTACACACACACACACACACACACACACACACACACACACGCACCTCTTACACACACCTTTTCATATCACACTGCTACATGCACACACAAACCCTTCAAACATACGCTCCTGCCCTCCATAAATACATACACCTTTACACACATATACATCTTTCATTCATTCACACACACCATAAATACATCTTTATATACACATTTTCACACACAAGCACGTTACACACCACATACTCTATATACATACACACACATATTCATGCACAGATGTATGCTCCAAACATTCACACGTTAAGACACACATATTCACTCACACATCCTCCATATACATTCACACATGCACATCCTGCACATGCACCCTCTCCACAAGCATACATATGCACACACATCCTTCATATACACACCTGCCACACATATGCAATCTACACACACACACACACACACACACACACACACACACACACACACTGTGTAGAACTTGATGAGACATCTCTAACATCTGCTTCTAACCTCAGTAAGCATGGCCCCCAGCAACCCCGGGGCCCAGGGCGGCGGTACTGCCCAAGTGGCCTGGCGACCTCCTATCTCCCACCCTGCAAAGACTCCTCACCGTGTGGTAGCCATGGACCCCCGTCTGCAGGAGCAGCTGCTGCAAGGTGCCGATCATCTTGCGACGCCGGCGGCTCTCCTCCCGCACGCCCTTGAGCTCGTCGGCCTGGCGACCCAGCTCCTGCTGGCCTCGCTGCTGCTGCCCCAGGCTGGCCTGCAGCCGGGCCTCGAGCTGGGCAACGCCAGCGCTCAGGCAATCCTGGCAGTGCAGCAGGTACTCAATGGTGAGCTGAGCCAAGCGCAGCACCTTGAGCAGCACTGGGTCCACGGGCTGCCCGCAGCGGCTGCACGCCTCCCGGTCCAAATTGCAGAAGGTGACACCCGTGATGTTCTCCTGCAGGGTGGCCACATCCAGCTCCCGTGCCACGCGGTCCACATCCAGGGCGCTGATGCGCCTCCAGTCCACACTCTCAGAGCGAGGCTGGAACTTGAAGGTAGGGAGTGGGTAGGCCCCAAAGGGAGGGCCACTGAGACCCTCAGCAGTGGTAGCAGGGGACTGCATGGGCTGAGGAAGCCCCGGGCTGACCACTGAGGGAGGGTGCCACCAAGGCCACGGCAGCAGGCAGAGGAGCTGAGAGAGGGCCTGGAAAATGAGAAAAGAGTCCAAGTTAGGCAAGATGCATGTGGCCGCGCGTGCTACACACGTGGCCAGCAAGAGCCTAAGTGGGGTGAGGTGAGGGACATGTGCAACAGCTGTAGTATGCCTGCATGCTCGGGCATGGCGAGAGAGGTGTAAGGCCAGGGTGTGGGCCTTATAATCACACAGATGTGGATTCAGATCGCAGGTTCACATCCTGAAGCCTTCTGTGTCCACTGGGGAGAGCAGGGGGCCTACTTTGCAGGTTTGTGGTTAGGAATGAGGCATGGAGTGCCCCCTCCACCGTGCCTCATACCCAAGTCCACTGCAAGAGTGCCTGCCGGAGGTCTTCGTCAAAGGGAGCCATCAAATGTCTAAGTGGTCCTTCTGCAACCCAAAGTGATTTCAGGATAAAGTCCAATAACTTGCCGTGGGCGACAGAGCCGCCTAACTTCCCCCACATCCCATCCTCCCTCCTGTAACTGCAAGATTGTAGCGGAACAGGAGTGGGCTACGTCTCCCAGTGGCCCCAGCTGCAAAGGGTGACCCTACAACTATGCTCTCTGGTGGGATATGAGCAAAATGATGGGGACGCTTGATGTGGCAGCCATGTCTCTGCACACAGACTGTGCTCAATCCACCATGGTCTTTTTTTCAAACCTACTGGTTGAGAAAAGAGGCCCAATTTGTCGTCAAAAGACTCAGATTCTCCTCTGAACTCTCTAGGTAGTCACAGAAACTGTTCTCTCTCTTTAAAGAGTAAACTGACAGTAGCAATAGGGTTTTAAAAGGAAAATTCCACTACTAAGAATTATACTTGTATAAGATAAACTTATACAAGTGTGCAATGGTGCCTGTGCAAAAACCGTCATTGTTGTGTTGTTTGTAACAGCAAAGTACAAGAAAAAATATAAGAAAGTGAAGCACAAAGTACAAGAGGGGATACAAATGGTATCTCTATACAATGAAATACTATGCAGGTATTGATAAGAATAAGGCAACTATTGGGTGGCTCAGTCGGTTAAGCATCGGACTCTTGATGTCGGCTCAGATTGTGATCTCACAGCTCGTAAAATCGAGGCCCATGTTGGGCTCTGCACTGACAGTGCAGAGCCTGTTTGGAATTCTGCCTCCCTCTCTTTCTGCCCCTCCCCTGCTCACATGCACATTCTCTCTCTCAAAATAAATAAATAAACATTTAAAAAAAAAGAATAAGGCTACTATTCATGCACTGATACAGAATGAGTGTGTATGTATATACACACACAGAGATATATCCCTATCTGCTTGAATGATAATTAATATAATCATATCTAATAATAATATGCAAAAATAAATATATGTATATCTCACATCTGTATCTACCTATATCTATTCGATATATCTATACCTGTATATTCTATACAGATGTATAGATATATCCCACATTAGAATGGTTGCCTATAAAGGAGGAAGGAAATGGGGTGTGAAACCGGGATAAATAAATAAATAGATGGAAAATGCATCAATAGGAAATGGATAGACAGGGAAGCCTTATACAGACCAATAATGGTAATGGTACATAAATAATATATATGCATGTACATACACATATATGAATGATTCAAAGTTGTTACTCATATATAATAATAATTAAATAAAATATACTAATTTATAATTCCTATATATGATTCATTATCTCCAACATTTTGTAAGCATAGACTATGGTATTTCTGTAAAAATAAACAATCTGTGAGCAATGGTTGCCTCTGGGAGTGGGAATGGAAGCTGAAGACTGATTTTCCACTTTCCACCTTTCCATACTATTCAAAGTTATTTACTATCATCATCTATTACTTTTATAATTTTTATTTAAAAAATACAATTTCTGGGGCGCCTGGGTGGCTCAGTTGGTTGGGCGTCCGACTTCGGCTCAGGTCAGGATCTCACCATTTGTGAGTTCAAGCCCCGCATCGGGCTCTGTGCTGACAGCTCAGAGCCCGGAGCCTGCTTCAGATTCTGTGTCTCCCTCTCTCTCTGCCCCTCCCCTGCTCACATTTTGTCTCTCTCTCTCTTCCTCAAAAATAAATAAACCTTAAAAAAAAAAAACTTAAAAAAAAAATACAATTTCTGCCCTTGAACTTTGAATCTGACAGGGGCAACAAGAAGTACAGGTGACCCTATTTAATCAAGTTCTTTCTAGATGAGACTTTTCAGCACAAGAGAAAGTCAGAAGGGAGGTCACTGACCTCACGAAGGAGAAAGGCCTTGAAGGAATGGTGGGGCTAGGCTTGCAAGGTGGGGAAGGCCTCCAGGAAAGACCCCTGACCTCCTGAGCCTTCACCTGAGAAAGACAGGGACAGGTGTGATGGCCTGCCCTACCTCCCCATAAGGTCCTTGAGAACTGGAGGAGGTGCAAGGCGAAGGCACTCAGTAATGTTCCGGCCCCGGAGTATCGAGTGCCAGCCTCTGTGCCACACACAACCTCTACATACAAATTTACAAACAGGTATCACTGTTCCCATTTTACAGACAGGAAACTGATGTCTGGAGAAGTTACGAGTGTTGTCCCAGGTTAGGGGGCCAGAGCTGAAGTACGGTTGGAGGTGCATCTGGCTCCAAAGTGGACTCTGAACACTGATTCTTAAAGCTGTTTGTCCTAAAACTTTGCTTTGATCAGATCATGACCCCTTATGCCTCAAACTCCTTCATTCATTCACTCACCACCCTCCCTCATTCACAGCATGCCTAGTGGTGCCAGGCCTGGTGCCCAGCACTGGGGTTACCGAGGTATATTAACTACACATCCGCCCTCCACACAGGATCTCAGCGTGGCCCCATGTTGCCACAGTACAATGTCCAAACCCCTCAGCCCAGCCTTGAAGACTGCTCACAGGCTGCCACTCACCCACCTTTTCCACTTTAACTCCCATGCTTCCCTTTCTCAGATACCCCTCCCCCAAATATACTCCAAAACCAAAACTATCCAGCCACGTGCACCCCCATCATGGCCATGAGAAGAAGATCAGCCCATTTCTACTTAACATGTTGCACTACTTAAAATTAAAAAAAAAAAAAAGGAGACAGGAGACATGATACTTACCATGCTCAGTCCAAGCTGCCGCTGTGTCACTGCAGCCCCAGAGACAATTGCCACAACAAGCTATGCCTCAGAGCAACAGCAGGTTACCAGGCATGCCGTGGGGTAACTGGACACCTGCTTCCTATCCTTCCCCAGACTGGGAGCTCACCTAGAGCTCACCATTTAACTATTTAAGCTTTAGCCTCAGAGGTTTGCCCACAGTCCTCTCTCTAAGATTAAGGCCAAGAATGCTCCACCAGCAACTCTCTCACTTCTCCCACCTTTTCGAATGTTTCTTCCAGCCTCTTCCTGAAACAGTTACTATCTTTTTCCCCTTCCTTTAACGTGGGGAAGAGTTGTGGGTGGGCAATGCCCTCGTGATACTCAGTTGTTCATTCACAACCCATCCCTCCTTGCACACTCTCCCAGAAGATGAGCTCACACATACCCACAGCATCAGCTACCGAAGGCCTGCTTCAGGCTGAGCCTCAGCCACTCCCAAATCTCTTTCTCGCTGGCCCATCTCTCTCTTGGGACCTTTAGATCCAGCCTGCTAATACTGATATACCAGAAATTGCAAATCCAAACTCCCCTAGGGCCAGGAAGGTAGCATTAAATGCAGGAAATATGACAAATGATTCCCTACTCGAGTGTCCAAGATACAATTAGGCAGTGGTTCTCAAACTGGTCCCTACTAGCAGCAGCAGCAGCTGGGAACTCGTTAGAAATGCAAACCCCCAGATTTATTGATTCAGAACGACTGTACTAGGAAGTGTTGGGGATTGTGGCAAAGTGGGGAGTGCACACCCTGTTTAAAAGGGGCAGCAGTTCAGTGGGGTGAGCAACTCTTGATTTCAGCTCAGGCCATGATCCCAAGGTCATCAGATTGAGCCCCACATCAAGCTCTATGCTGAGCATGGAGCCTGCTTGAGATTCTCTCTCTCTCTATCTCTCTCTCTCTCTCTCTCTCTGTCTCTGTCTCTCCACCCCCCATCCCCACTTGTGCTCTCTCTCTCTCTAAAATAAAAAATAATAATAAAGTAAAATCTTAAAATGGGCAGCCATCACTGGGCTTCAGCCATATGGGAATGGATTTATGTGTCCCTCATTGGCTAATTCTAAATTCTAGTACCTAAAAAGATATTCAAAGACCTTTATGAACTGTTTTCAAACCAGCTTTCTAGCTGCATCTCCCACTTACAATATTACTTACTGTCCACACATTCATATCTCTGGCATATCTATTTATAGGCCCTGTTTTTAAGTGCTTTATAAAGAATAACTCATGTAGGGGTGCCTGGGTGGCTCAGTTGGTTAAGCATCCGGCTCTTAATTTTGGCTCAGGTCATGATTTCACAGTTCGTGAGATCGAGCCCCATGACAGGCTCTGTGCTAACAACGCAGAGCCTGCTTGGGATTCTCTCTCCCTCTCTCCCTGCCTCTCCCCCGCCTGTGCTTGCATATGTGCACTCTCTCTCTCTCTCTCAAAATAAATAAACAAGCATTTAAAAAAGAATAACCCTTGTAATCCTCAGGACAAGCCCTCAAGGGGGTACTAATATTATCCAAACCACAAAGAAGTAAAGAAGTTTGCCCCAGACGCAAGAGGCAAGATCCAGACCTACACAGCCTGGTTATGGAGTCTGACCTCTTAGCCACTATCATGCTGCCTATTGGTAGAGATGGACCTGCACCACATCCTCCTGCTCCCACTGCCCGTGAATGAACGCACGCTTCAAGGCTTTCTTCACACCTGACAGCCACCATAAATCCCTCCCAGGCTCACAGTCAGAACTCCCTGCCCCTCCCCTGGGCTCCCAGAGCAGGGTGTACACTCCTTTGGGCACCTGGCCACGCTCCGGTC